ATCTCAATGGATGCAGAAAAGGCTTTTGACAAAGTCCAACACTCATTCATGTTCAAAGTCCTACAGAAAATTGGAATAGAAGTCCTATACTTCAATCTGATAAAAAGCCATCTATGACAACCCAACGGCTAACATAATTCTAAATAGGGAAAAACTGAAATCTTTTACTCTTAGATCTGATACAAGACAAGGATATTCTCTATCATCTCTCCGATTCAATATAGTTTTTGAATCATTAGCGAGAGTCATTAGACAACAGGGAGAAATAAAAGGAATAAGAATACTTGGTAAAGAAGAAGTTAAATTATCATTATTTGCAGATGGAATGATACTTTACTTGGAAGACCCAAAAAACTCCACCAAGTAGCTACTAGAATTGATACACAAATTCAGTAGCATAGCAGGATACAAAGTCAATACCCAAAAGTCAATAGCATCCTCTACACAGATAACTAACACACTGAGAGGGAATTTAGAGAAACAATACCTTTTATAATAGCACTGAGGAAAATGAAATACCTTGGAATTCATTTAACCAAAGAAATCAAAGATCTTTTCACAGAAAATTACAGTACTCTGAAAAAGAGATCATAGAGGATTTCAGAAAATGGAAAGATATTCCATGCTCCTGGATAGGAAGAATCAACCTTGTGAAGATGGCCATACTTCTAAAATTGTTGTACAGATTTAATGCAATCCCTATCAAACTACCACCAACATACCTCCCAGACCTACAGAAATCATTCCTAAAATTTATTTGGAACCAGAAAAGACCGAGAATAGCAAAGGTATACTGGCCAACAAAGACAAGGCAAGAAGCATTGCAATTCCTGACTTGAAATTATACTACAAAGCTACTGTGATAAAATCAGCATGGTACTGGCAAAAAAAAAAATAGACCTGAGAATCAATGGAATAGATTAGAAGATGCAGAGGCCTCTACGAACACACTCAGCCACCTGATCTTTGACAAAGGGGCCAAACACACTTACTGGAAGAAAAATAGCCTCTTTAACAAATGGTGCTGGAAAAACTGGCTCTCTACATACCAAAAACTAAAACCTGACTCACATCTATCACCATGCAGTAAGCTAAAGTCAAAATGGATTAAAGATCTAAGCATTAAAAGAGAAACACTAAATCTCCTGGAGGAGAAAGTAGGAGAAACCCTTGAAGACATAGGGGTAGACAAAGAGTTCATGAACAAAAATCAAATCTCATGGGTAACACTTGAAAGAATTAACAACTGGGATCTCTTCTTATTGAGAAGTTTCTTGCACATCACAAGAAATTACCAACAAAGCGAAAAGACAACCCACAAATTTAGAAAAAATCTTAACTAATAAGCACTCAAACAAAGGTCTGCTCTCTAGAATTTATAAAGAACAAAAACACAGTAAGGCCCCCAAATTTAAAGACCTAATACACAAATAGGCATCTAAGGTGAACACACACTTCTCAGAGGACAAAATTAAAGAAGTGAATAAATATATGAAAAAATGCTCCACATCACTATCCATCCATGAAATTGAAATGCAAATAATAACAACACTGAGATACCAACTCACCCCAGAAAGAATGCTATCATAAAGAAATCAACCAACAACAAATGTTGGAGAGGCTGTGGGGAAAAGGGAACCCTTCTTCACTGCTGGTGGGAATGTAGACTGGAGCAACTATCATGGTAATCAGTGTGGAGACTCCTTAAGAAAGTAGGACTGGAAATCCCATTCAAGCCAGCTATCCCCCTACTGAGAATTTTCCTGGAGGAACTGAAAACGTCATATCATAAAGATATATGTGTACCCATGTTTATAGCAGCACAATTTGTGATAGCCAAATCTTGGAAAGAACCAAGATGTGCATCACATGAGGAATGGCTGAAAAAGATGTGGTATAAACCTGAAGCATTTATATTGAAGTGGATGGCACTTGAAGATATACTCATAAGTGAAACAAACCAGACCCACATGTGTAAATATCATATAGTCTCCCTAGTATAAGAAATCAAAAGAAGAAATACAAATAGAAAGGTATAACACAATTAAAAGGAAAGCAAGAACTTGAGAATTGGACAATGAGGAGAGGGCAAGGAGAAAGCTGGGAAACAGGACAGGGACAAAGCCATACATTTATATGTACAAGATGGGCAAGGCAATGATCCTGAGAAACATCAGCAGGTTTTTGAAACTAGCAGTTAATTGGTAGGATTCTCACCCTGACTAACTATATATGCTGATACCTGTAATCCAAGCAACTGCACCGAAGATAGCAATATGTAATAGAAGGGTCATGTTTGGAATGTCTGTCATTCTGGTCTTCTAAATACATGCTTCTTGTCATGACATACCAATTATTACCATACAGTCTCACAAGTAAAAGTTTTTTTTAATATGATATAAATGAAAAAAAGACACAAGAAAAAGAAAAAAAATGTCACAGGACTGTCCTGCTATAGTGCTGTATATGATTAGATTTCTAAATTTCTGTGTAAAAATATGTAATTGTTTATTCATATTCTTTAAATATTTTTCTTTTTTTTTAATTTTTAGCTCCATATTCTGTAGGGACTTAATGTTTAACATATCAATACTTGATGGAAAATATCTGTCCTATGTTATGCCTAAGATGTTTGATACTTCGACAGATAGTGAAGTTAAACCCAACTGCATAAGTTGTAGGGTAATAATAAACTTCTCTTCTGGAGGGTTAACAACCTAAGTTTGCAGACCAAAACTTAGAGAAATAGAAGGGCTGCAAGGACATCCAACATTTTGACCATAGCCTTTTAAGTCAGCGAAGACTCAGGACATAGGAGAACCTATACTGTAACATTATGTAACTCAACTGTGTCCCAAATTTTCTGATCAAGGAGATTATGGGGCCACAGAGCAATGTGATTGATGATGTGGAGTGTGTCTAAGGAGAGTCACCTGGAGAGAAAACATTCTCTCAGGCTTTCACAGAGAGCAAATTGGTCACGCAATGGCCGTGACTCAACCACATGGCTGAC